GTGGGTCACATAAGTAGCTAACATCTCAGGCGTGTGGTGTGTAGGTCAGACGTGCACGAGTGCCCATGAATGGTGACAAGACTCTGTGCCTCCTTGTTGGAAAGTTATTTTGTGTAAACTTTTTTAGCCCTTTTGACATTTTCCAATGTCCATATTTGTCTTTTGATTTTATTTTTTCTTAATTTTCAATTTTCTTTAATGCAACCTGCGCCACCAGTCATAGCGGCCAGGAATATAGTGCATAACATGGAAATGGTGTCCTCCCTGGAACCGGTGTTCTTCTAGTCACATCTTATGCACGTTACATTCCACATTTGTTTATTGATGGAAATAATGCTAAAGCCCCCTTTGTAATGCCAAATGAGTCAAATCACACTCTAAGAGGTTTGTGCACTCTTGGCGAGTCTTTTCCGTCATCCTAGCCTTTCCTCATGACGGCAAGTTTTTGTCAGCCAGCCCACAGCCATTTTGCCCTATGACGGCATGTTCACATCACCAGGCCCTCGACCCAGATTTTTCCATGAAAGGACTGTAATGTCATCCGGATTGTAGGGGTGAATGCATAGGGAGTCAAAATTATCAAGTGACTTGCAGCAGCAACTAGCAGACTTATTTGTTCCAGTTAAATATTAAAGCCATTTTTGTTATTCACAGATATCAGAGGAAATTCATGAGCAGAGAAGATGTCGACTCCCAAGAGAGCCAGGCGTTGGTGCTGAGATCACACCTCCAGAACCAGACGACAATCAGACCTTTGACCACAGTGCCAAAACATTTACGCCACTCGAAGAAATCACTGCACAGGAGGAAAAGGTACCATCCCTTTCTCTGTAAGATTTGGAAGCATTTTGACGGAAGGTGTAATGAAAATGAGAGGTAGAGAGGGTAATTAAGATGGAAAAAGAATGCATGAAAATGTAAACTACTAGAATATTATGCATCGGACACATTTTCAACTCTTCATTTACTTTTGTGTGAATGGACTCTATTTGGCATTGTTTCATCTAGTGCTAGATTGCATGTGGTATGTGTAAAAGAAGGTGCTAAGAACTTTGATCATTTAGATATACTTTGTATTTAAGATACAATTTCAATTTTGTTAGGTTAAGCCATTGGATCCTAGTGCTTATCTGCCTGTACATGGCCCAAAATCCAGGCAGTAGGCTTACTTGTTTGGCAACTTTCATGGATGTGTTGCTTGGAGTCCTGACCCACATGAACACTCATGTACAGTGTCAAGATGCCTTGCCTTCCTTTTGCAATGTTGTTATCACTTCTGCACAAGTGTTTTTTTTATTATTATTTTCCAATGTCTGTATTTGTCATTTGATATGCTTTTTTCAGATGGTAATAGACTGTTTTCCTTGAACAGCCTCCATATCATCTCAAGGTAGCCTGTAACTCAATGCAGTAGTAATAACAAGTAACAGTTTGTTTTTTGAGACCTTTAAAAAATTTAATGATATCAGTTTTTGTACTACACCCTCTGTTGACAATCACAGTGGGAAGAGCATGGAAATAGTTCCCTGCAGTTAGCATTCTTGTAGACATGGCTCATGGATGGTACATGCCATACCTGTTTACCAATAGGAATTATGCAAGAGCCCCTTCCTAAATGCCCAGTAAGTCTTAATCACCCTCCAGGAGCTTTGTATACTAATAGCAAGTAATTTCTGTTACCCATGTCTTCAGCCAAAACTCTCATGACAGCATGTTCCTGTTACCCTGGCTCTTAGCTAAATTTTTTCATGATGGTATGTTCACTTCACCCGGTCCTCAAGCTAAATATTTTTCTGACGTGATAGTCCCGTCACCCGCATCCAAGGGGTTAAGATTAAGATCATGGAAATTGTAGTAGCTACCAGCAGAGGTGTCCTTGCAGATCAGATAAACATTATTTTTCTATTGTTGGATGAATTATTCTGTGCAAGGCTCTTCATTGTATTTTTAAAAGATGAAAAGGCCTTGATAGATCAGTAGTAGATATGAAATAAAGTTTATGTATCTATGTTCATTGTGTGTGTATTATATCAATTTTAATTTTCTCTCTTATTTTGACAGTACTGGGAAAGCTTACGTGAAAAGTTGGAAAAACTTAAAGTTGACAATGGTGAGCAAGCTGCATCAGCCGAGGACGAAGCATCTGACTCTGAGTGCTTCGATGGACGAGAAAGAACAGTAACAGGAAGTAGTTGCACCTCAAACCCTGAATTAGAAAGAGGTCTTCCTATGGAAAGAGTTGTGAGCGGGGAGAGCAGTGCAGCGTCAGAGAGTGATGAAGCTCAGAGTCCTACTGAAGGGAAGGATTTGTGCCTTGAAGAAATAATAATTCTAGACACAACGGAAGACCCCGAACTTAAGCTTGGCAGTGACAAGGAATGTGTTGGCAGCCAGGCAGATGCAGAAATCAAAGGCGAAGAGGAACCAATGACATCTCGAAAATCTCCTGTCGGTGGTGATGCTATTATGATAATCTCTCTAGACGGCTCTTGTGATGAAAGTAATGCAAATAAATCTCCAAGAGAGGAAAGGACTACAGGTATGGCTCCAACAGATGGTTACTCTAATGACAAGGGAAGTGATATGATTTACAGTGATAATGGAATTGGTAATGAATTAGTACAAGAAGGCTTTAAGGAAAACATGAACACCACATCTCTGCTCAGTGGATATATTAGTGAAGATATTGCAAGTAACAAGAATGGTAAAGATGATCTTGAGGATACCGAGGTTGAAGAGATAATTCTCGAGTTGGATGATGAATCGGAAGAAGAGGAGACCAGAGAGTGTAATTCAGCCAGCCCGCCACCCACTATGTGCCAACCGATCAAGGGTCTAAGTATTATACCTGAAGGAATCGAAAGCCATGAATGAGTGATGCTGCAATAACATGTTTAAAATTACACACACATAATATATATATATTTTTTCATAATGAGAGTGATGTGTTCAAATTTATATAATGATATATATATACTTTATATATATAAATAGTCTGACGAGTATGGGGTCTTTGGTAAGATGATGCCAATAATGTTTTTAGTAAACTATATAATTGTTGAGTGCAACTGTGATCAGACAGTGTTAAGTAAATTATTGCCATCAGCAGTTTATAGTTGTTTATCTTTATAAGGTGAATTTGAATTTGAATGTAACTACCTTTGCATATATTTATTAAATTGAATTAATTAGTTTCAGTAAGGGATTTTAGAGTTCTTAAGGTCGAGAGTTCATTCAAACGTCACACCTCTCTCCAAAGTCGAGCTATATGGTCCATGTCATACGAAAAGGACTTAGCATTCAGGTGACTTCCAAACCTTTTTTTTTTTCTTTACTTTTCTTTTCTTTTGCCTTTTCTTTTGGTAATGATGCTGATTGGCCTCCTGAAGATTTGGGGAATGCATTCAGGTGTACTTTCGTCTGGTTAGTTCAAGATACGGGAAATCTCATGGATTACTCACTCTGCCGTGTATCTTTTACTTCAAGTTTTAGGTATGACTGGGGGTTCCTACAATAAGCACTGTAATTTTTCAAATGACATAATCAAAAAGCTTTTAAATGAATATAGTTGTTCCTAGTGCAGTTATAAAAAGTTGGTTACAGTATTGTTTGGAAGACTGAAAGATATATTTTTTTAAAAAGAGATGGTTTTAATAGCTAAAGCTTGATATGTTAAGGATATCTGCAGATTTTTAAAGAATAATGTCACATTGACCAGTATCTTTGGCATTGCTGTAACTTATGTGATAGTTGTTTGAGAGGAAAATTTGTGTGTCTGACTGCACGTGTGTGTGTTTGTGTGTATGTACACGTTTGCTTGCTGGGGTACATGTGCTTTCCAGGGTTTAGGTGTCTGTATCCACATATAGTTACTTGAATATACAGTTATCCTCCCAAATAAGGAGTTGAACCCAGTCAGTCTAGGTAATATCAAGGGAAGGAGGATACTTGTGTACATGAGTGCAATATTGCATCATTCCATCTTGAACAGTCATGTTGGATGCACGCTCTTGATTGTATGTTTGAGTGTGGATGGTTTTCTTTTCCCGTCTCTGTGTGTTTCTCTTTGCCAGTGTTAATTGTCCTTACTACAGTTGTGCATATTTGCTTATACAAAAATAGTTGCACATTATGCTTCCATGAATAAAGAAGCATGCTTCGTAAGTAATTACATAACATATAATTTTTTCTCATCATTTTCTTCTCTTTCATGAACTTTGCACATAAAAACTAAAAGGTATATCTTGTTACTCAGTGTTCTCGGAACAGAGAACTTACAACTCCATAATGATCACAATGAAAGTGTGCCTTGCATTATTCATTGTTATTGTTGCTACTAAAGTTTAATGAATGGTATTGAGAATGAAATAATTGTAGAATGGAAGCTTATCTCCTCTTATTTTTGCAGCTGTAGTGTGTATGCCAGGGTATTGTTAGACTGTTACTATTGCTCTGGGTGCAATATGATGTTATGGGTAGAGGTAAAACATTCATTGTTAAGATTTTAGAAAGAGGAAAAGTCTGTGTGCATGCGTGTATGTGTTATACAGCGCGCACACAAAAAAAGAAAAAACAACATTTAACCAATTCCAGACAATGAGAATTGTGCCTTGTGCAGATGCTGTATCACTCACTAGGTTCAATCTTTTCTCTATTTCTCTACAGTGTTTTCACTTTCCTTTTTCCCTACATTTAGTTTACTGATACTGCTTGTGGTGAATATTGTGCTAAGGAGGTTGTATTTCATTTTAGTATAATTGATTTAGATTGTAAGAGAGGAAACTGGTTAGAGATTATCTCAGAAATGAGGGATAGGTTGTGGAAAGGTTACAAAGACTTTTCAACAGTTTGCAAATGTTCAGATCAAAAGATCATAATAGGAATATAGAGAGATAGGAAGGTTAGATGAATATATTGTGTACTTGATTTTTTTCTTTCTTTTCCACTTAATGAAATCATGTGGAACACCCAGTATAAGACTGGTAGTATTTACAGCCTCG